CCGTGTTCCCTCAATTGCAGCAACTACTCCATTTCATTTGCATGAGCATGGGCCGGGGGAAGCTACACGCATAGCCTTTTCCACCCTGCAGATAACCTAGCACTAGACGCGACACTGTGACAGCGAGTCCCGTCCGCGACGTGCGACTCAGCCTCCCAGGCATATCCTGACATCCGCGTGACACGACCTGTATCCTTTTTCATATGCTGCACTCACTGATAGAGCGTGCGTCCCAGCCGTTGAGTACTCTCTGCACATTATTCATACTGATCTTTTGGTCCGATGTATGGATCCCGTAGCAGGGGTTTGTCGACCGGAACATGCATGTATCTGTTCCGTCTGGCTGAGCTGATCCTGTGTGATCCAGTGGGAGGAAAGTTACGAGAGGCTTGCGCGCTCTGCGTGTTCGTATAATCGTATACGGCCGGGGCCGGGTCTTGCAAATTTGCAATGCCACTGGTCTACATGCACGAATACGCTTTGCCTCTCTCGCCGACACCTTGCAGCTTGGGATTGATCGACCCAATCGCGTTGAACCAACAACTTGTGCCTGCATTTGCACATGTACTGTACCAGGATGTGTAATATTCGTGTGTGGCTTATTTGCATAAATAGACATCAGGTTAACACTTAACAAGCGCTAAAGGCGAATCGCTGCTGATCATGAGTCGCTAAAATAAACCAGTAACAATTACTTCCTCCGTTCCAAAATAAATTTCTTTTTAAACAATTTAAGACACAATAGTAGTTATGATAAATGATCTTATTACCTCTAATTACTTACATTAGTTGTTATTGAAAGCCGCATTATTTGTTTGGTTTTCTAAATGCTGAACAAATGTGCATGCATTGAAGCTAGAAAAATAACATCCTTTAGTCCTTTAATTGGTTCTACACGCTTTAGGACACTGCGCGCATGCAATGCATCCGACGGGATGGGATGGGAATGGACCTCTCTCTTCTCTCTTTAGCAACAGTGCAGACGTGAGAAAGCTACAGACAGATCTTGTTCTCTTCTCTCCACTCGAGGACAAAATCTGTCTGTAGCTTTCTCACGTCTGCACTGTTGCTAAAGAGAGAAGAGAGAGGTCCATTCCCATCCCACCCCGTCGGATGCATTGCATGCGTGCAGTGTCCTGTCTCCGAGCGAGCAACATATGAACTCTCTTTCTTGCTACTACGGTTGCAAGCACACGTTAGTTTAGTTTGTCATAAATAAATTTTCTCTAACTCTAAGTAAACTTTTTTTCTAAAAAAATTACTAACACCTACAAACATCAAAATAGTTTCATCAAGGTCCTCATAAGTTAAATATACGAATGCTAATATTATTTCCTAAAAGCCTAAATCATTGACATTAGTATAGGAAAAAAAACATATACGAAACTATTTGGATAAATTATAATTACGAGTAGTTTTTTTTCTCAATCATGTAAAAGGTTTGCACGTCTTTGTATTAAGGTAAAAAAAAAGTTTAATACAACACGTCTTAGCGGCGCCCTAGATGGTCATAAGTGCACTACATGGACGCTCGTATCCTCCCTAGAGTACTGAAAGCTATGCTGTCTACATGGACGTCTCTGTTATGGTTAATGACAGCTTGTCTACAAGATGTTTCTCCAGTTGGTTCTGATGAGGAGCAGCAACATGTTAGCGTGCAGGTGGAGCACGTAGATGATCAGGAAACTGAAATTGTTGATAACAATGTTCATGATATTGTTCAGCACTCACCTCCTGTTTTACAGCCTAAAAATCAGTCTACTGCAGATCGCAGAACAAAGAAGAATTGTGGACCTCGTCCATGTTTAATTGAGGAATGGATATGGTTTATTATGCTTTTAGTTGTGCTGAACAGGTGGAGAACATTCATGAGCCGGCTATATACACTAAAGTTGTTGTTTCTGGTGACCGCGAGAAGTGGATTCTAGATATGGAGATTACAAGAGACAGAAATTCTGGTTTGTTATTTCTTAGTCAGCAAAGTTACATCAAGAAATTTCATCATCGTTTCAACGTGCATGATGCAAAGTCTGTTAGTGCTCCTATTGCTTCTCATTTTAAATTATCAGCTTTACAATGTGCTAGTACGGATGAGGATTTTTGAGTATATGTCAAAGAGTTTCATATTCTAGTGTTGTTGGCTCTTTGATGTATGCCATGGTTTGTTCTCGTCCTGATTTATCATATGCTATGAGTTTGGTTAGTAGATACATGGCTAATCCTGGTAAAGAACATTGGAAGGTTGTTCAGTGGATTTTTAGATACTGTAGCAAATTTTTGAAAGTTGGAGTGGAACTAAACAAGGTGTAAACAAGGCCCCAGCCTCCCAGACATATCCTGACATCCACGTTCACAGCTTATGCAGTGTAACTTGTCAGAAGTCAAAACGACTCTGATAAAGGGACAGAGGCAGTACGATGCACTCACTGATAGAGCGTGCGTCCCAGCCGTTGAGTACTCTCTGCACATTATTCATACTGATCTTTTGGTCCGATGTATGGATCCCGTAGCAGGGGTTTATCGACCGGAACATGCATGTATCTGTTCCGTCTGGCTGAGCTGATCCTGTGTGATCCAGTGGGAGGAAAGTTACGAGAGGCTTGCGCGCTCTGCGTGTTCGTATAATCGTATACGGCCGGGGCCGGGTCTTGCAAATTTGCAATGCCACTGGTCTACATGCACGAATACGCTTTGCCTCTCTCGCCGACACCTTGCAGCTTGGGATTGATCGACCCAATCGCGTTGAACCAACAACTTGTGCCTGCATTTGCACATGTACTGTACCAGGATGTGTAATATTCGTGTGTGGCTTATTTGCATAAATAGACATCAGGTTAACACTTAACAAGCGCTAAAGGCGAATCGCTGCTGATCATGAGTCGCTAAAATAAACCAATAACAATTACTTTCTCCGTTCCAAAATAAATTTCCTTTTAAACAATTTAAGACACAATAGTAGTTATGATAAATGATCATATTGCCTCTAATTACTTACATTAGTTGTTATTGAAAGCCGCATTATTTGTTTGGTTTTCTAAATGCTGAACAAATGTGCATGCATTGAAGCTAGAAAAATAACATCATTTAGTCATTTTATTGGTTCTACACGCTTCTCCATATGTTGTCTTTTATTGGTGTGAGTGTTATTTTAATTACATGTGTAAAAGGTGCACTCTTTGTGAACAAAATTTGAATAGTAAAAGAACATTTATTTTTTGGACGGAAGGAGCACGTGGTTAGTGGTTAGTACATCGTTCAGACCTTAGGCTAGCCTTAATGCATTTTTATCAAAAGTTTCATGACCATAAATAACATGCCACATCAATAACTTTGCCAACGTGGCACAAGAGAGGTAGTTTCATTATATGTGAGAGAAGTTTCATCGTTATGAAACCAGCAGGCACAGTTACCAAGTTCTCAACCTTCGTAATTGTGCCACGAAATTGTGCACTGAGACTGGCCTTAGTAGTACAAAGACAACTTATTACACTACAAGGACGGTCTCAGTGCACAGTTTCATGACACAGTTACCAAGGCTGAGAACTTGGTAATTGTCCATGCCGGGTTTCATAGTGATGAAACCCCCTCTCCTCTCTCCTCATAGTTACCTTTTCACGTCAGTAAAATTGCTGATGTGGTATGTTATTTAATAGTCATGAAACTCTCGGTAAAACTTCCATTGAGACTGCTCTAATGGTATTGCCGGAGTGACATGTATTTGAGAGCGGTCCCAATACTTCACCCAGGTAGTGCTTATGGTAATAGAAAAAAGGTGCCATATAGAATTTATGATGACATGATACTATATAGAGCTTCTTGCGTTTGTACCTTTGTTTTGTATCGAAATTGTGATTTTGCCCCTATTTTTTTGACTTTGTGAATTTACCCCTACTGTGTCGTTCACGAAGCACCAGTTTGCCCCTGCTCCGTCATCCACCCCTAACGGTGTTAAACTTTGTACAAAAGGACATGAATGCCCATGCGATTTTGCCCCTGTTTGTTATGCCTAATTGTGATTTTACCCTGATTTGGAATTACAGGACTATTCTCTAAGCAGATACCATTGAAGGGTCAGACAGATGAAAAACTTACAGGACTATTCTCTAAGTAGATACAGAACAGAAACTCAGATATGATGAAATCAAAGGATATTTAGAAATTTGAATAGCTACAGTTCCTGTCCTTCCACATTGATAGATTTATTCACAAAAAAAAACTTGTCTATATTAGATGGAATGGAACCCAGAATCATTCTAAATATTATTAAGTAATGAACACTCCATTCCAAGTTAAAGAAATTTGACTTAGGATAAAGCCAAAATGAACTACGATGTCAAACGGAGGGAGTACAAGACAGGCCATTGTAGTTCTGAATCTGAAGTTCCTATACTGTCAGATTCTTTATTAATGCATATCAAGACCCAGATTTCTGAAAAGCTTTGAGTTGAAACGTTAAAGATTAACAGAAATCACACATAAGTTGTATGGTGTTTATTTTGTAAAACCATGAAGGAAAAGATGCCATTGTATGGAAGACAGAAGCCATAGCATCTGGATGCCTAGATGCTCTTTCAGACACACCAGCAACCAGGGCCTTTGTGTTCCTACCAACTCTTGTGTCAGTAATAAGCATTTTGACTGGGTTCCTGGACTCAAGGTTTGTCAGTTCCCCTTCTTGAATTTGATCATTTTCCCTAGTTTCAAACATAAGATTTAGTGAACCAAAACAAACTTAGGAGAAATGATAAGAAGGCAATTAACATTCATATGATCTTATGATTATTAATAAATTACTTAAGTTCACCTGTTTGCAAAGGTTTCCATGCCTTAGACCTAAAACTAACAAGAGTACAAGACTTCTTTGGTTAAATTACTCATTTCAATACATAGATACATCATCTATAAGTAGGTGCAAGTCAAGAACATATATAACTAACATACCATAAGTAAACTAGGGAGTTGTTTGAAAAAATAAATAAGTGAACTAGAAGCAATCCTGATCATGACAAGAGTGGCGGTGCCATTAAGCAATCAACCATTAAGTTATTGCGAAGAACAACCTCAATACGAATTCCACTAGAGGTCAACCCTGAATGCAAAGGCATTTCAATACTACCAGTTTTAAATAAAGGTTTAAGAACTCATCAATTTCATAGCATACCGAAAGTGCTGACGGAATTGTCGATGCCAAAAGGTTTGCCATGAATGATCTTTTCCCCTTGGAACGCCCATTGGTTGACCAGCTCAAGATCACCCTTCCCCAACACCTCCCACCCCTCAGCACCCCTGTGTGCTCCAACACTGACTGCGCCAGCAGCCGTCAATAGAGCCCCTGACATGGACACACAGAATGCCGACGACGAGCCGAGCCCTGCACCCATGGGCAGGTCCGAGGTCACCACTGCCTTGCCAGGCCTGCATCTGCACAAGAACACAGCGAACAACCACATGTGTGAAAAAAACGTGATGTGAGCACAGACTGCAAACGGGAAGGGAGAAGCAACCAACCCCAGAATGGAGGTGTAGAGGAAAAGGAAAGCGGACAGGCCGGCAGAGAGCCAGATCTTGGCCTCAGGGATCTCCTGGTCCTCCAAGAGCCTGGCAATGGTGGCCAGTTGGTCAGGGGAGCACGGCGCCGGAACCCCGGGGTTGGCGCTGATCTCCTCGCCTAGCGCCCCGCGGAGGCGTAAGCACGGCCACGAGAAGGTGAGGCCCGAGTCCCTGAGGTACAGCTCCACCGCGCCGGAGTCAGCGCCGCCACCCTCTCCTGCGTGGCACCGGGAGAGAGGAGCTGTGAGAAGGGTACCAGCGGCGGCGACGCGACAAAACGAAGAACCGAAGAAGCCAGGGTGGGCGGGAGCACCTGTGGGGCGGAGGAGGAGGGAGGACCTGGTGTAGAGATCGGTGGCGGCGGCGACGACGGCGTGCTCGCCCGCGAGGATGATCTTGCCGGGCGCGCGGGCGCGCACTTCCGCTGGTCCCCGATACCCCGCCGTGCCGGCGACTGCATCCATGGCACCGAAGGCGACGAGATCCGCGGCCAAAGAAAACGGAACTGGAGGACGACGGACTGGGAGGGTGTGTGAGCCGCGCGACCTCTGTCCTCGCGGCGTCCTTGGCTCTGGAGCTCGAGGTGGCCGGTACCGTCAGTAGTGCATCTACTGGCGTCGTCGCTGTCGGTCCTCCGAAGGTCAAACGGGCGGAGCTGCCAAGAAATAGAAACAGCGAACAACCACTTGTCGTCGGAACGGGTCGAGCGAACAGGTGAGAAAGGAGAAAGGGACGGAGGGTATCATTGTCTTTTTATATAGGTGTTTTTTTTTTACCATTTAATCCAAGCATTTTAGACGGTGTTATAAAACAGGGATAGATGAGAGCTTTGTTTGAAAAAAACGAGGATAAAATCATAAAGTTAAAAAAAGAGAGGCAAAATCACAATTAAAGTACTGGACAAGGGCAAGAACGCAATTCTCCCTACTATATATGAGGGAAAAATAATAGCAGGACAGTGTCCAGCATCAAAACCAATGTATAAAACACCACAGGAAACACCATTGCCTTGCAGGTTCTTAGCTTCGAGTTTAGCTTAGTCGAATAGTTATACTAGAGACAATTTCTTGTATGCTATTGAAAATTTAACTCATCCTTTATATGCCATCCAAATTTAATTTAATTCATCCTTCAGCACCATTAATTCTAATTTTTCATCCATTATGCGCCGTTATTTGTTATCTTTGCCGCAAAACACAGTGATCGCCGTCTCTCCGTCGGCTAAATCCACACGTCTCATCCCCTCCATCCCAAAATCAAATCTCCCCCAACCCAACCATAGTGCTGCTTCTGCCGTCGCCGCGGGTCCTCGACTCCTCGGTCGAGCTAGGCCGCATCGCCTAGGTCTAGCGTGCACGAGTCCTCGGTCCGGCGGCCGCATCCCCTCGCTCGAGCGGCCGCGCACCTGCTGCACACCTCCCACCGAGTATGGGACCCATGTATCAGCGATAAACACCAATCTGCGGGTCCGCGAGGCGGCCGACCCAGCTCCCTTGCTTGCTCCTTTCATCTCATCTCTCGTGCTGCTTGTGACGCCATGGCGCCGTGCCAGCCGGACCTCCATAATCCAGAGCAAGGGCAATCCAAGCTATGGCTGTGACGTAGAGGAAGAGAGACGACGGGTTCTCTCCTCCTCTTTCCCGAGCAGTGCGGAATCGGCAAGATCCACCTCTCCTCCTTCCGATGTGAGTAAAACCCTAGCCGCCGTAGTTCTTCTTTTTCGGTTACTGAGATCAATCACACCGATATGCTTGTTTCCTCTTCTATCCATCAATTTGCGGTCGATTCATTGCTGCTCGGAGCCATATCCAAGATCAATCTACCTCATGGAATATGTCGTTGGTAGGTGATGGAAAAGAAGGGGAGAGCTAAGGGTGGTGGGTCCTCAGATGCTGACCGTGCCTCGAACCTCAAGGAATATGCGCTCATGGATGAGGCGTTACGAAGGCTTGCTTTCTCGGAGTACGTCCCATTGAAGGAAGACCAACAGCGGGAAGGAGGCGCTGATGCTAAGGCGCGGCCAAAGATGAGGAAAGGCAGAAAGCAGCTCCCTTATGCCGCACTTTCATTTTTTCAGAAAAAGATTGTGTCTTCGATTCATTTGTGTCTTCGATTCTTATTAGGTTTCCAAAGAAATGGCCAATGGACACCTCACTAAAAGATACTCTGTCTTATCTACATATAAGAGTTCACACTCATCAACTTAGCATTGGATCTAACAAATGAGCTATTGTTTTTATTTACTCTATTGTATTCAACATAATGTGATATTGGGGAAAGGGGATCAATGGGAGGAATTGTGTGTAGCACAGTGGTGGATTTATTGTCCTAAATAAAACATGTGTAGTAGGATAACTTTTAGGTAGCTAGGTTTCATTTGTATTATTTCTTTTATAAAATAAAAAGGTGGCCCGAAGAGTAGTTTGCTACTTTGCATGCCTTGAGTTAGCTTTCTTGTTAGTACCATTCTAAGATCATGTCTTCGGACACCCCCACTGGTCCACAACTATATATGGTGCCTAACTATGCTAGTATTTAAATGTTTTGTTTACTTATCTTTTTGTGGCTTTGATTGGCAAGTCACCTTGTGGGTGGAGGGCACCCCTATACATAATATTACATGACCTCTAGGATTGTGCCACGTGGCACATGACACAATCCACACTCTTCTAACAAAATATCTGTACTCTAAAACTTTCTTTCTCATTCTTATATATCTAGTTTCTAGATTTTGTTCGTCATGCCAAAAATATCTAGTTCAAGAATATTTCATACCCCTCCGTCCCAAAAAATGGCAATCCAGCTTTTAAATTTTGTCCCAAAATAAGTGCACACATAATACACGTGCCAGCGTGTCAGATCGTGGGACCCATCTAGAGTAAAACCAACGCAAGGCATCTTCCACTCTTGTTTCATGTTCTGTATAAAAAAAGCTATCGTACCGCATCCCTTACAAACGGACGTGGTGCTCTCGTTTCCATCTTCTACAATACTCCGGCATAGGAGAGGTTGGTAGGTGATGGAAAAGAAGGGGAGAGCTAAGGGTGGTGGGTCCTCGGATGCTGACCGTGCCTCGAACCTCAAGGAATATGCGCTCATGGATGAGGCGTTACGAAGGCTTGCTTTCTCGGAGTACCTCCCATTGAAGGAAAACCAGCAGCAGGAAGGAGGCGTTGATGCTAAGGCGCGGCCAAAGATGAGGAAAGGCAGAAAGCAGCTGCAGAGAAAGGAGATAGGAGTTGCTGATACCAAGGTGAAGGATGGCGATGAATGGGATTGCTGGCACTGCAGCAATGAGGATGTATCTCGCTTGAACAAGGCTCGCCTGCTGATGCTGTCTTCCAAAAATGCTGCATCATGTGAGCATTGCCAGGAAGATTCCTCAACGAATCAGCAAGCCTCGGGAAGCAAGGGACGAGGTGATAAGGAGGAGGAGGAGGAGGAGGAGGAGGAGGAGGAGAAGAAAAAGAAGAAGAAGAAAGGTGGGGACACAAGAGGCGCTGCTGCCAAGGATCAGACAAAGGTTAAGAACAGCGATATCTGGGTCTGTTTGGAGTGCAGTAGGCAATTCTGTGGTGGTGCAGATAGCAGCAAGCCAGAAGGCCATGTTAAATTGCACTGCTATGAGAATCAACACTGGTGGGCTACACATTACGATGATCCAACCTTGATATATTGTTTTAAATGTAGAGTGGAGGTTGTCGTTAGGATCCCTGATGTTTCACTGTCACAAAAGAAAGAGAAGACTGAAGCTTCATATGAACCAAAAGCTACAAAATCGACAAAGCTAATGGAGGGCATGGGATCCAACAATCCTGCACAAATATCATCCCCATCAGATCAGATGGACATCCTGGAGATGGACCTGAAGCTCTCTCTGCCTATAGCCAGGGAGGAGGGCAAGGGAGCCAGTGATCCTGGTGAAGTATCATCTCCCCCATCATGGGACTGGGGATGGGACTCAGGCAGTGACTGGGATGAAGAGACCACGACGACGACAAAACTAATGAAGGGCATGGGGTCCGATGATCCTGCACAAATATCACCCCCATCAGATCAGATGGCAATCCCGGAGATGGACCTGAAGCTCTCTCCGCCTATAGCCAGGGAGGAGGACAAGGGAACCAGTGATACCGGTGAAGTGTCATCTCCTCCTTCAGACAAGACAGAAATAAACCAGCTCTCTCAGCCTATAGACAATCAGGATATTACCATATCCGGATCAGCTGCCACCAGCATGAACGTCATTAAAGCGCTGCCAAATATTGGAAATTCTTGCTTCTTCAATGTGATGCTCCAGAATCTGCTTGGAATTGATTCACTGCTGTGCAAGATATTAGGATCAGACCTTTGGATGGGGCCCTGTGTTGCGTGTTTGAAGCAGCTCTTTGTGGAGACTAGCACTTCATATGATGCAGGAGTCCCACTTAACCCAGAGATCCTTTTTGCAATTACCTGCCAAGATTTTCCTAAATTCAGTGGTGGCACCATGCACGACAACGCTGAGTTGTTTGGCCGTTTTCTTGGTAGTTTGCACGATGAGGAAACTGATTCAGGGCAAATTTCAATGGATGATTCCAACAATGGAAAGGTCACAACATTAGTTGATTCAATGTTTAGGGGCCAGGAGTGCAGTACTGTGTCCAGCAGAGAGTGCCCGCACGAGTCCCCTAAATCTCAAGGCTTCTGTCTTTTGCAACTGACTCTTCCACAGCTTCAAGACAGTACTCCTGTGTCTATAGAAGACTGCTTCGCGTTGTATACCAAGCCAGATCTTCTACCTGCATGGCATTGTGAGGAGTGCACGAATGCAGCCAAGAACAACATATCTGAAGAACAAAGGAAAAAGGATGAAGACAAAAAAGTTTATAGAGTTGCAGAGAAGAGAAATCTCATAACCAGGGATCCTGATATATTGGTGGTTAGTTTGAATAGGTACGCACCGATATCTAATGGTGGATTTGAGAAGTTGGAAGGGCATGTGCATTTTAAGGAGATGCTTGATATGCAGCCGTACATGGACCAAAGGTACCGATTTTTACCATTGCCTTTTGCCTTTTGCCAACTAAAATTTTGACTGCTGCTTCTGTGATTGAACATCTACTGATTGTTCTGTTCATCACTATTTCTTGTAATATACAGATCAAATACGACAGACAACAACATTTACCGCCTAGTTGGCGTTACTCAGCACATAGGAACCCTTCAAGGAGGTCATTATATTGCATACGTGAGGGCTGCCAAGATGGAGGGCCAACAGGAGCAGGGCGGTGAGTCAAAGTCATGGTTTTGTGATAGTGATAGTGAAATCAGAAAAGCTTCTCTTCAGGAAGTTCTTGGCTGCGAGGTTTATTACATACTTGTGTATGAAAGGGTGAGAGACTAAGACTTCTATAGGATGTGTTTACCATACCACAGACATGTTTCTTTTGTTCCGATATATGTCAATATTCTCTTTACTGTT